GAATTCATGCATTGTTGAATTATTTCATTTCGAATAGCAAACTTTGTTTTGAAAACGGTATTAAATATTGTTCAATAGTTCATCATAATTGTTTGCTTCCTCCAAAAATCTCCTTAAAACGCATGCGTCTTTCCTCTTCAATACCAATTGCGCAATTGATTATTTCGTTTTTTAAGACCCGTAATTTCAAATTGGATAAATGGAATCGTTAATAATGTGGCCATTTGATCATCGGGTTGGTTTGAATTGGGAAAATCAAGTTTTTCATCACTCACTTGATCTTTGAATATCGAAATCTTTTGTCCTTCAACTTTAGTGACGTCACCCGTGAAAATCAATTGTCCATGACCTTCGTTATCAAATCCGATGGGCAAGAGTTCACGCTCCCCAACTTCGTATAGAGAGTGCGATCACCTTATTCCAACAAATCTAAATAATTTTCATTGTTGATTTGATTTCGTCTTAATATTTCACATATTGAAAGTTTCCTTGTTTTGTATCAAGTTTCGTTAACCACAAGTAAATTCGCGTTAGAAGTGATTACATTAAAAATTTTTTTAATAGTAATCCTTATCATGGATTTACCGGCATCATGAATCCGGTGAATCAAATCGTGTGAATTTCTGTATTGAATCTGGTCTGAGATAATGTGACATAAAGATTCTGTTTGCAATCGTCAGAATTACAGCCTTGGGAAGATGGCTAAATCCGAATTGACATCATTCACTTGTCATTTAAATACAGGATCAAAATACGTTCCTTAATTTTAAAAAAAAAAATATTTTAAACAAACGATATAAGAATTATTTTCCAAGAAGCATGACCTGAAGCGAATTAATTACCTCCATAAGTCCTGATACAACCAAAAAATAATTAAAGGCATCATTTTCTTCATTATAGGATTCGTTCATCGGAAAACCCTTTAACTTGACAAGTATATTGAAAGAAAATCAATTGATGTTCTCTTCGGTAAGTATACGATTTTAAAATAAGGTTTCCATTAAATTGATGGCTTTGTCGCGGTTCTTAAAACATGGCCTGTGTTTTAATAAAAAGGTGGAATTAATGATATTGTGGCAAGTTCTTAAAGAATATTATGTCACAAATTTCAAAAGTGATTTCACCATAAAATTGGGAGACATCATAATATTTTAGAGAATACTTCCATCTGGTTCGAAAGGGGTAGATATTTGACTTAAAAGGAACCTTTTATCTAAAAATAGGGGCGTATAAACTTAAGACTTGAAGAGGGTGTCTGTACACATTCAAGTTCGAAAGATGAGTGAAGGGTAGGGATATATTGCTACTGCAAACATCCCAAGATATTTAGTAAATGGTAAATATTTAACGAAAAAAAAATAAAAGAAATATAACGTTTTTCTTAATAGGATTATTTCCAACGAAGAATTAAAAGGGGGAACCTATATCTAAGAAAATAGAAGTGCGAAAAAACTTGTTTTTATTTATAAGATTATTTTCAACTGAAGAATGAAGTATTGATGGATCGGCAAATAATTATATAAAGAAGCACACGAAACGTACGAAACGAGAGATATTTTGCTAGACGACAAGGACGCATTATTTGACTAGCTACTTCAAATTTAAATCAAGAAAGAAGGCAAGAAAGAACTAGTGACGTAAGATATCAACAATGTAGAAGATTACGTCAAGTATTTAATAGAGTACGAACGGAATTGTCACTTGCTCAAGTGAGAGAAAAAGATTTAAGGCAAGTAATTCAACAATTTCTAACTTAACTTTTAAATTATAGAGTTCCAATGTCCGATTTAGTCATTTAAATAATGGCTTCAATCGAAAAAATAGACGAATCGCGGCCAATAAATAGATGCGGTAATTCCACCGCCTTTTTTTCGCCGTGGGATGTAAATGGGATGCAAATGCATGCGAGTGTTGAAGAGTCAATTTACTGAGAAAGATCTATTTATTTCGGTAAATAATGTTTTCACATAAAATATTTGATCATGTAAGATATAAAATCATGGAAAGCCGGTACGATTTTTGCGAATTTTGAATTGAACATTAGTACCCGTAAGCCTTTGATTTTTGAATATACAGTACAGACCGTAAAGTGCATACTAAAACAATTTCAAAAGTACATTCTCAATAAATGGTTTACCCGGTGTCACCACATCTTTAGATTCTGATCTTCATGTGAGAGTGTTCAATTTCTAATTATAGTAAGATGAAACAAGATTTTTGGGAATATAAATAAAATAAACTCTTTATGATAGAAAAAATTCCTTCCCCCGTAACATTACCATAAATAATACCAAATTATTGAAACAAAAAAAACCAAGTCGTGGGGTTGAATATTCTATTAAAATTGGAAATGAAGAAGGGTGAGTAGTCTTACTGAGTTATTTGTTGAGTCGTTGTGTATCTGAAGCTGCACTGCCACTAGGTATAAAAATAATCTGGGAATTGAAAGCTCGTCG